TTGGCCGATTCGTCGACAGGAACACAAAAGGTCGTCCAAGAAATGAACCGGTAAATCAACCGGAACAAAGGCCGACGCTAAGAGCTTCACCTGCGTCGGGTACGGGAACCGGTGCCCCGACGGCATCCGCCGTTTTCCGCGATCATTCTTAACGCCGTGGATCATTTCTCCCGAATTAACGAGACAAGCAGATTCCATCAAATGAAGACGAAGATGGATGGCGTTGTTGTCGACGTGGTGGAAGATCGAAGATCACGGTACCGCGTCACACGTCCCGACAACTCGGTCTTTGACGTTAATAAGAAAAGGATTTTTAATAAAGATTAGACGTGTGTGAAATTAAGCAATAACGGGTAAAGGAACGTTGGTAAAGATCGGCACTTTTCGCGTAACTGATAATAGCAATTCGGAAGTAGTAGAAGTAGTAGTAGTATACTTCGTTTACTTTTTCTAGGGATTTGCCCTTTCCAATGTCTAGGATGCCCGCTGGCAAAATCGTAGGTAGGGAGAAAAAATCTCACACCATCTGGTGGCAAAATTTATAACTCGAATGAGGGAAAAATTTACATAGGAATTGTGCACGAAAATTGTAAAATTGTTTATTAAAATAATAAAACACGTTAAAAAAGTAAAAATTTTTTGATGATGGAGTCGAGGAAGTTTTCTTCTAAAGTTAAATCGAATAAAAAGTTAATATGTTCAGTGAAAAGCTGCAATATAGGAAAGAGTGGAGGTGCGTGTATATCCAGTCTTATGACTGACGATCTTATGATGATGATGATGATTAGTAATAATAATAATAATAAACGTACAAATCATTTTCAGCAATATTGTTAATACCCATCGGCTATCTTGTGGGTAACTTCGGATACGCCTTAATGATACCTTTAATGAATATTGTTTTTAGAATTTTAGTGTTCCATAGGGAAACATAAAAGATGCATTTAAATGTGGAATAATCCTACTACGAGTCATGTCTGGCGCCTTCACCATGCATCGTAGTTGCGATGGGATTGTTTGGAGTACCACTAAAACCTCTGTTTTCCTTTTTATATTACGTACTGGCTGACCCATCGAACTTCGTAACTGCCTAATAAATATATAAGTATATAAATCATGCTGCTATAGTTCGTAAATCATATAAATAGTAGAATATATTACTAACCAATCAGGCGCCGCCTTTAGGGGGCGAAACTCCATTTATAAGACTATTTTTTTTAATAAAAAAAATAATACTATAATAATAAGAACTGAAGAAAAGAAAGCTGGAAATTTATTTATAGGTTTACTATTTTCAGCACGAAACAAACAGCCTTAAAGAGACAGGCCCCTCTTCAAATTTTAGATTTCGGCCTTACTCCACTGCATTCAACCTGTATTATTTTACTTTGCTGGAGGACAGTGAAACATCCATTCGTTAATAATAAATACTTCTGTAGTATTTGTGCCTAATATTACCTTTCGCTTTCAGTATCTCATCTGTCAATTTAATATACACCTTACATAAACTCGCAAATAATAAATGCGATACCTATTTAATTCTTTATGTTATTGACGAGGGAGAATTACAATAATTATTTATTTATAAACTCTTCCGCGAGTAAGAGTATGTAGATAATAGGGAAAATAAAAATAATTGTAGATCTTTATGGTTANCACCTTCAACGAAATTTCCTTTCCGAGGCTTTGTGTCAGCCCAATCACATATTGTGTCAATACTTATCATTTTATCGTAATTTAAAAACTTGGAAATTGCACGGTACACTATAGGAACTACGATAAATTTTCCCTAATCGGCGCCATGTTTTTAGGCTCCTCCCATTTGACGGATCTCAATACTCTTGACTCTTGTTCATTAAACATACTTTTGCAAACAAGCGTTAAAGCCTTTAATATGTCTTCAAATATAAATAAACATCTCGTTGATATTTTCAGTAGTAATGGTACCAATAACAGCACCAATTGACCAATAAAATGATCAAACTAAAGGTCACATCGGTACAGAAAATAAACGAAGTATAGTAGGTTATAGACACATGTATCAAATTAAAAAAAAGTGCGGGATGATCGGCAGTACGATTCATGCCTGCATAGTTAAATTGTACACCACAGAACCACATAGTATCCATAAATTCTTATTTAGACTACAGGAACAAAATTGGTACTTCTAAATTATTTATTTAAAACGGCGAATCTAACATCTGCTTATCTATAGTTGGGACGTTCAAAATTGGCGTACCCCGCAATAAAATTGACACATTTACTTTTTTCTTTCAACTTAGTAACTAGACTGACAGAATGCCTACTTTTATTAATGACAGACGTTGTAGGGAATATCCTACACATAGAAAAGAGATGTCAGGTAGGAATTCATGTTTAACAGAAAGAGATGCAGACATGCAGAATGTGAGCATGTTGTCAGCAAAGTACTGAAAGAAAGTTCAATATTTTCAGGAGTTTAGGAACGTAGAGACGCTTGTTTAAAGATATAATTACAACGAGGCAGTTATAAAGTGACCCTGAATTTTTGCGTACCTAATCAACCTCTAACCGCTTCACCGCTTACTATTATTTGGTTATCTCTTTTCACTTTGTCTGTGCTACTAATAAAGCATTTATTAACTTAAAAAGGGCGTGTCAAAAAACAGAAAATGACTACAATTCCAAGCGGAAACAAGAAAGAGGACTATGCCAATTGTGAAGGTTCCAACTATACTTTGTTAGTAGTAGTCGCATTCAAGATCACGAAGATGCAGGGTGGTGAGACGGCTTACCGTCTTTACTCTTATAGCTCCCTGTCATTTTACGTTCCCCAATTATCTGTTAAGGTAGACTAAGATTATTATCATATTACTACTAAATTATTAATTAATAGTTCCATTGTTGACTAGTCATTATAAATTATACAATTCACTATCAATATTACATTAAAGTAAATATGTCCTATTTCCAAATATATAAAACTCGTTGCTGTATAGCATGCTGGAGTAGTTATATCTCAAAATAAACATATAAATTCGCTTATTATGACACTATGTAGTATAAAATTTGGGGGTAGCGGCCAAGGTATTTATATTTTGCATGATCAATTATTGATCTATGTGGTACAGCAGTATACCGACGGAAACAACAAAAAATTTTTGTCAGGCGAGCGAAGCTCCCCAACAAGATTAAAAATAATTATTTACGATTTCAAAGTTTCAAAGAGACTTTCCTTAATTACATACAAGGTAGAAATTAATAGCAGTAGATTAATGGACAGACTGCGTTTTACTTCGACCATAATATATTGTCGGGATTTTCAGCGTATTCTCTATTATTGCTACTTTCGTTCGGGTTTAAATTGCTGACATTTCTCCTTTGATATCTACGCTGTATATAAAGAAATAATAATTAAACTGCTGAGGGACGTAAAAGCTATCGTCGGATTTGACGTCGCTGTTAATCCAACCGGCTTCCTCTTCTGAAATAATGACGGCAAGAGGGTTTTCCCAAACGGCACGTTTCCGTGTACTGTACGTATTTGTCATTTTGTTTGAGTGCTGTCAATTTACACTGATTTCGCCCTTGGAAGATTACAGATAATTTCTGTAAAGGCCAGTTTATCCCAACTCAACGGGATCTTGGAAAATTGATTTCAAGCACGGGACAAGCTTTTAATTTTAAGGGGAGGTTGTATAGACTTGAGATCTTAGGAAGTGAAATGGTTAAAAGAAAAATAAATTTTGTCAAAATTAACAAGTCATAATCTAAAATGAATGACAGGTTTTACATAGTAATAGGTACTAAATATCCACTCATTATGACGGTTTTTATTCACGACCAAATTTCTCTGGTTTCTCCAAACACTAGGTACTTCATTTTGACCGCATAAGACAAAATTAACTACTAAATACATATACCATGTGTTCGGTGTTACAAAGACATTTCTTAGTTATATTATTTTTGGTATAATTCTTAGGTTTATTAGGTTATTCATCTCCTTTCATTTGTATATTTTGTAAATAGATGTTCTTCCCTGGTCGTAAATGCAATTCTTACGACCAGCTAAACTAAGTTTATTATCTGGTTTGCCCAGATATCATTTCTCGGAGGGTTGGTACCTGACTGGGTAATTTCACCACCAGATGTACTTTCAGGTATAATCCATTTCGACTTTTTCCATCATTATCGTGGGGGTGGAGTAAGTTATAAATGAGTGTTCTTGTAAGATTTTAAAACAGATCCAAATCTCATTCCAATCAATCAATTTAAAACCAAAATATTAACCAAAATAACCGAAAAACAAGTTATTCCTTGTGATTTGTGTGTCATATCACTAATCAACTTTGTATATATTGTGTATTGTGTAAATAAAATTGTATATAAAACAAATCTACAGTCGATTACTTCTTCGAAGTGATTTCACCAAATTAGTAAACCGGCGGGATACCGCCATATCGAATACCATGCACAAACTAAACTTCGCTTATGGAAACAAATTCATTGCCCTTAAAGATCGACGTATCTTGTTGCTGGTATATTATTGTTGTAAGGAGCCAATATATTCAGTACTTTCGTAGTAGTATTAGCTGTAGAAAATTTGCAACACAGTCATAAGGCAGTGGAAAAAAATTTCTCACAAACACGAACTGAATCATTAACGGTACTTAGTACAAAATATATAATTTCTTTAAAAAAATTAAGTTGCACTACAAACAACTTCGAAGTTCAATGCCAAAGTCACATTCAATGTCACCAACTGATGTTCCTTTCGAAGGCATACAACCTTTTCTCCAAAAAACTGAGACTCCAAGATATTTTATTATGTAAATATATGGACTGTATGACAAAAGTACCTATACTTTTTAAGATGTCAGGGAGGTACCTTTTAATCCAAAAAATATTAAAAGTTTCTAGTGTTAGGAATCATCAGTAAATAAATGTCATATTATGGACGAAAACAATTACCGGATTTCAATGAAAATATATATTTCCTATGACTACGTAAATTTCTTTACCTTTTCAAGTTTCTAGTATTGCAGCTTTACGCCCAGATCGATACATCGATCCATAATCAACTAAAGTGAAATATGTCGAAGGTGCTCAGATGAAAGCTGAAAAAAAAGTACTTTTGTAAAGAAAGAAAGAAAGAGTTTTTTTGATTTTGTTAGTATGAGTAAATTTAAAAAAAATTGTAGTAGATTTTAAAAAACAAAAGATTAAACAATGAAGAAAAACTTGATTTAGAAAAGGAATGGATTATTTTACAAGCAACACAAAAAAGGACAGTTAAGGTAGTAATCCTTCTTTAGCTTTGAAACAAACCAAAGACTAATGTGATAGCACATAGCGAACGCCACACGTAATCTAGGAGACCAATCTCATTTACTATTAGTTAGCGATGGTTTTATACAATAACAAGTTCACATGCAACAAAAGAGTTGCCTGCAGATAACGGCAATTTATTTAGCCGGTCGTTAAATTTCACAATGGGTCCTAAAGAGCGTAGGAAATGCAATCAGAACGGTGGCGGTGCTGCTGCTAATGTGCGACACAATAAAGATTATCTGCATAGCCAGGCCATCGGGTCCAAATTATATCGCAACATCAGCGGCCGCATCGGCGTGGCACCGGCAGGCCTTTAGTTGTAATTTGGCAGGTCGGCTGCGATATGGCTCATTTGACACTATTTTATAAAACGCTAATTTTCCGGAGCGCGCCCGTTTGTCAGGGCTTAGGTTTCCACCAGTGCGACTGTTCGATGCAATTATCTGCCATTGTGCAACGCCGGCACAGGGCTGCCACCCTGACGCCCACTGGTGGCGCGAATTTAGCGCCATTGTACTCTAGCGTAACGAGCGACGACCGATGAAATAAATATCCTTATACATGACGGGCTCAAGCGCCACATCTCTGACTTATCGACTTAACAAACCGTCCTAGGCCCGGTCCCCGCCCTGTATCGAGAAATTACCGCGATTCGGTGCTGAGATATCGAATCATTAGCGAATGGTATCGACAGCTCAGTTGGAGTGTAATCAAAATTACAGGATGCGAGTAACGTGCCAAATCCCTTTGAACATAAGTCTACAGAGTGGGTTATAACTATTGGGACAGAGGGTATGCGCAGGTTATTTGGGCTAAAATATGAGGATTGGCCCAACACTATGCACAGATAGGTACAGATAATTTAATAAACATTTCAGACTTTCGGAAAGGAATTTCGAATAATATTTTATTTATGAATAATGTGCCTTAATGGCATTTCGGATGATCGCTGAGGCACTAGACCTAAGAATAACAATGTCGTTTATGCAAAATTGAGCATCTCATTACCAAGTAGGGGTTAAAAATCATCTTAATCAGACACTTCCTCAAACAATCTTAATCAAACCTTTCCCCAACATTGGATTAGGTATAGCAGAGAAAGTGACTTTCCATGGCCATAAAGAGATTCTGATTACAAGCCAATAGGTTTCTATTTTTGAGGACATATGAAGTCCTTAGTTTATGCTAATGAAAGTCCTTCAATGATCATCTTCAAAACAATTACAAAAGGCGTAAAATTTTGTATTTAATTCCGAATTATAAGTTTTTCTACTGCTTCCTATTTGAGATACCTTTGTGTGTCTATAAAATGCTCAATTGCGTTTTTCTCGAAAACGATTGATTTTTTATCAAGTTGAAACAAATTTAAAGATGATTAAAATTACTAAATGTTTGGTTAAAATAGATATCACCGAATCCTGAAGCATGTTCATGTGGCGCTTGCTGTAACGCAATGAAAAATAATATTTCTTGCCTAAAGTTATACTTCTGTGTCAATTTTGATATCGATTTATGAGTATCATGTGTAATTATTATAAAAAAGCGAAAAACCATGTAAAATTTAACACCCTGTATCTTTCTTCAGAGCAACATTTTACTGATGCATGTTTGGTTCAATCCTCATATTTTAATCTAGGAACCAGGGGCGCAACAACGTTACAGTTGTTTGACTGCGTGCTCCTATCAAAAGTCACCAATGTATTGAATTTCGGCTGCCCATTTACGAGCTTGAACTATTTGAACCGAACTTTCAAATTGTGTTATTATCTGAATCGACTGGAATTATCTGGGTGCCCAACTCAATCTAGTGGGTGCCCAGGCACCCGTGGACTACCCCTTGTAGCGCCCTTGGTTATGACTCACTGTGTACATGCGAATAACAATTCTAACCAATTCCTTGGTGTGGTAGGAGGTAGTAATAACGAGATCATTTCAATTAGATCAGCATATTTTAGGAAACCCGAAAAACCGCCATGTTCCCGCCCCATCGAGTTTTTGAAACTAGTTTATTTAAATAGCACAATCAAGTGTGAATTTTACTAAAATATTCTGATTTATTTATAGTTGAAATTGGATACTGAGGTACAGGCATATATGAGTGTTGATTTTTTTGTATCTAGTTATACGCCGATATATGTTCAAGGCGGTCCGCGAAATGACTGATCTGACCTAGGTATGACCAATAGTTTCGAATAACCCTGAAATGCAATTAATAGTTAGGGCAACCAAACCCACAGGCATTATTATCGTGATATTTCATTTCATAGGCATGGTAAATAAACTTTTTACTTACTTTTTAACACTGTTAAAAACAGAACGGTAATTTTAAGTAATTTGATACAGATAAAATAAAAAATGAGTTCAGACACTACTACAGTGACTGTACACAAATCTTGTATGAAATGATTCGATAACATTTGTTGCAGTATTTAGCGCAAAATAGCAGTAAATTACTCGATAATGGAATATTGTGGCAAAGTTACTACCCATAACAAACGAAAAGATAACAATGAAAACATAATTTCCTGCTTTTAATCGAACGATTTGAATTTATTTTACTGTGAATTCGTTTCAAACTAACAGCGGCATCCGCTTGTATGTACCGCAATACGTACCTATACATATAAATAAAAATAGGTTTAGATTGAATATTCTACAGCGAATAAATAATAATATGACAGTCGTTTTAATTTATCTTGATAAGAATGTTAAGTACACCAAATAATAGTGCAGGACATTTGGGCTTGACGGCGACATTGAGAAGATTATTTATTATTCCTGTGTTATTCGCGCTGAAGGAGCAAAGTCAATCCAAGATAAGTATAAATTTCAAATTTCGAACATTATTCAGATAAAGTCGGTAGTGAAAGCTTTAGCCTTTAGAGTAATTAAAATAAAAATTTTGTTCTCTGCAGCATTTAATGTTTTTAACATTTTCATAGCATTTTTCTTTTGGTGTTATTGTTATACCATTTACCAGTAAACTATTGATGCACCTATCCCATCATGAACGAAATACCTAGGTATTTGTTTTACTAAAGCATAGCACTCATTGCCAACAAAACAATGACATTGTAAATAAAAGTGAATTCTGAGCTACTCAGAACTCGTCTAATAAACATAACTGAAGTAAGAAGTATATTGTTTTGCATGCTCTTCAGAGATCTAATTCTAGGTTATGTATTAGCAAAGAAAAGTAGGGAAAGAGGGAATATAAAGATAGGAGACGAAAAATTAGAAGTGGCAGATTTTAGGTATTTAGCTAGTCAGATGAGTCAGGACGGAAGGAGTAATAGGGATATAAAGCAAAGGATAGCGCAAGCGTTGAATCGCCTTCAATAAAACGAAATCACTTCTATGGTTGCAGACGGTTAATTTGGAAATTCGAAAAAGATTGTTAAAGGTGTGTTAGGAACGCAGCGCTGTACGGGTGCGAAACATGGACGGTGGGAGAGACAGAAAAGAAAAGATAGGAAAAGTTCCAAATGTGAGGATAGAGAAGGTTAGAAATGAAGAGGTATTAGAAAGAATAGGAGAACAGAGGACTCTATGGAAGTCAATAAAAAAAGAAAAAATAGGAAAGAGTGGAGGTGCGTGTATATCCAGTCTTATGACTGACGATCTTATGATGATGATGATGATTAGTAATAATAATAATAATAAACGTACAAATCATTTTCAGCAATATTGTTAATACCCATCGGCTATCTTGTGGGTAACTTCGGATACGCCTTAATGATACCTTTAATGAATATTGTTTTTAGAATTTTAGTGTTCCATAGGGAAACATAAAAGATGCATTTAAATGTGGAATAATCCTACTACGAGTCATGTCTGGCGCCTTCACCATGCATCGTAGTTGCGATGGGATTGTTTGGAGTACCACTAAAACCTCTGTTTTCCTTTTTATATTACGTACTGGCTGACCCATCGAACTTCGTAACTGCCTAATAAATATATAAGTATATAAATCATGCTGCTATAGTTTGTAAATCATATAAATAGTAGAATATATTACTAACCAATCAGGCGCCGCCTTTAGGGGGCGAAACTCCATTTATAAGACTATTTTTTTTAATAAAAAAAATAATACTATAATAATAAGAACTGAAGAAAAGAAAGCTGGAAATTTATTTATAGGTTTACTATTTTCAGCACGAAACAAACAGCCTTAAAGAGACAGGCCCCTCTTCAAATTTTAGATTTCGGCCTTACTCCACTGCATTCAACCTGTATTATTTTACTTTGCTGGAGGACAGTGAAACATCCATTCGTTAATAATAAATACTTCTGTAGTATTTGTGCCTAATATTACCTTTCGCTTTCAGTATCTCATCTGTCAATTTAATATACACCTTACATAAACTCGCAAATAATAAATGCGATACCTATTTAATTCTTTATGTTATTGACGAGGGAGAATTACAATAATTATTTATTTATAAACTCTTCCGCGAGTAAGAGTATGTAGATAATAGGGAAAATAAAAATAATTGTAGATCTTTATGGTTATTTTTTGTTTCGGTGTGGACGGATGGCTAAAATGGATTTATAAAAAATGCAGTCCGATTCATGACAGTGTAACGCCCTCACGTTTGTCGTTTGAATCGAAACACGTAATTCGTCCCAATTACTGGGCTGTCAATCTAACAATGGCATCGTATGTAGCACTGTTACGTGAAACTGCCCTTTACCATCTTCTCATCCATTCCCCACCACCACCCCCGTTCGGCCGTCGGGTTCGTTTATTCTAATGCCGTATACGGCAGGGCATTGCCGTCATTTC